AAATTTTTTTTATTACTTATCATATATATAGATGACCTATTGTTCAGTGGCAGTTTTTTTTTTTTTTTTTTTTTTTTTTTTTTAAATTGATTTATATAACAATTAATATCCAACTTTGAAATTTTGGAATTTTGAGCTCATATTTTACCAGTCCATGAAATTGATGCCACACAACAGGTTTAGAAAGTGGAATGAAAGAACTTCTAATTGTGTAATGGCTAAGTTAATTTAAATCTTAGTATTTACAATTCAATTAACTTTAAGCCTTCTAAACAATGGTTATTAATATTAATAAAAAAATTTAATAAAATTTATTACGGTCTTTTAAGGCTATTTGCATGATCTCTACTTAAATCTCAATGATTTATTTAGAATCAATTATATGGTCCTTATTTAACTACTAAATTTTATGTGATTATATTTTTTTTATTAATTAGAGTAATTAATTAATTAATTAATTGAAACTCATAAATTATTATTCCTTAAATAATTGATAGTAAAAATAATTGATTAATTTATTAAGATTAATCTATAATAAAAGTAAAATCTTAAAGATTAAATTAAAAATAAAATAAAATAAAAATAAAAAAATTAGAAATTGAAGATTAAAAGTTAAATATTAAAATTAAAAGATAAAAGTGAAATATGAAAGTTATAAGTATATTAAAAGAATAAAAGTAAAAATAAAATTAAAGCAAGATAAAGGCAAAGATACCTTGATAATGTCCAAGAATTGAGAGCAACAAATCCCCTTTTTCTCCAAAGTTTGCCAAAAATCGTGATTAGTTCCAAAATGAATGATTTTTAGTTTGTTGCAAGATTAACTTAAAGGCTCTCTTGCTATAATGATTTTTAATTCAATACAGTACTTAAACCATGAGAAATGCTCCTTCAAAGTTGAGTGAACAAGATTACCGTGGCAAGCAATCTTCCTCCACTTAAAAATTCATCAAAAATTTAATTTATCTTCAAACTCAACCTGAAGATGCACTTACTTCCAAAAATTTGTCTTTACTCCAAATCAATCAAGCCTTAATTTATTGAAAATCTAACACCAAAAGCTACAACCACAAATAAATTTCCATTGAAATTAAAAAAAATGAATGACTAATTGAAGGAAATCTGAGGCTCTTAAAACCCTTGGAGTATTTGGGAGGCTAAGAGAGCTATCTATCTTAATGAAGTATGTTTTAAAATCCAAAAACCATCATTCACAATTCAAGATCCATGTACACACCCACAAAATTTATAGTGAGATTTAAATTCAAAATTAATATTAAAATTAGGATTTAATGCCAAAATTTGGCATGGCTTTATCCTTCATCAAAGAGGAGAGAGAAAGAGGGCTTGGGAAACCAAGCCATTCTTATACAATTGAGTGGTGGCTTGTAGAAGAGTGGCCACACCTCTATCCTTGATTTTAAAGATCTCTAATGTAGATCTACAACCTTTATTCATCCAAAAGCTATTTTCGTTACCAAGGCTGATGGCTCTTGTAAGTAGTCAAAAAAGATTTTTTGATAAATCTAACTTCACCATTATATTCAAAACACCTTTTTATGCTAATATCAACTATTTATATGCCTCAATCCATGCTCATTTGTAATTTTTATAAAAAATTTTACTTATAAGGATTTTGGCAATTCTTGTAAAATTCTACAAAAATGAAAATTTCATTGCTCCACTTGTATTTTGAAAGAGAGGGTGCTGATCTTGTTTTCTTCACTCCATGGAGTGAATCCGATATTGCCATTGCATTTGAACAACTCCCATTAATTAAAAGAACCACTTTGCAACTTTGATTTGTTGAATTTAGAAAAAATCTTTAAAACTATCATTACTAAACTTCATTATATCTTTTAAAAAATAATAATTCTAATTCACTCTAAATCATATGAGATGATTGTAGGTGAATTCATAGGCTCTTAGTCAACCCATCATAGTAATAATGAATGACCTCTAAATTATTAAAACTAACTAAATTACTCCTCTAATTTTCTAACTCTCATTACTTTGGTCCTAATTAGCTTAGTTCAAGGAATTAGACTTTGATTTATACCATCAAAGTTTACAATCCTAAAAATTCTATAAAACTAAATTCTATTATATAAATCTTAATCTAACATGCTTAATTATTATAAAATAAAAAAATAATTTTTTTTTAAAGTTTAAAGTATAATTGAGAACTCACAAGAATTAAGTAAAGGAGATATGATAGTTTACCACAAAATAGAGTATATAAAATTACTTAGAAATATCTTTATGACTCAATATAGATATGTGCTCTAAGTCTTAGAATTCTTTGGTATAAAAAAATATACTCTTACTACAATACCAATGCAAGTATGGCTGAAACTCATAGTCAACATGAATGCTAAATCTTGTAATCTTACATACTACAAATCTATAGTGAAAAAATTAAATCATCTCACTTATACTTAATTCAACATTTCTAAAGCTATCAGTATTTGTTTAAGATTTTTTTTTATCCTTGACAATCTCACTTAATAGTAGCTTATAGAATAGTTAGATATATCAAGCATATTTCAAATTATAATATTTTCTATTTATCAAAATCAAATATTAATATAATTAGATTTATTGATATAAACTAGATTAAATATATGATCAATGGATGCTTTACAATAGGCTTCACTTTCATGCTTGGCTCTAACATCATTACTTTGTTCTTGGAGAAGTAATTAATAGTGGCCATGAATTCTTTTGAAGTTGAATATATGAAATCATATGTAACTTCTAAAGAAGCTATTTGGTTGGCTAAGTTTTCTAAGACTTTGGTCTTCAAATCACAAGATTTGTTTCTATTTACTGTGATAATGAAGATGACATTTGCATAGCAATGAATCTCAACATTAATCCTAGAATAAAACATAATAATATGCATCACCATTTTATACAAGAAAAAATGCAGAGTTGCAAAATTATACTCAAGTATGTTCTTTCATTAGATTAAGTTCTGATATTTTTACAAAAGCTTTGAAAAAAAGCTTGTTTAAAAAACTTAGAAAGAATCTAAATCTTATGTCTTACTTTGAAATTCTACATTTTAAAACTCAAAATCTGTATTGTTTCACTTATCACCTCTAATTCTTTAGACAATTTCTAAAATCATCATCTTTTGCTATATGGTTTGCATCTACTTGTAGCCAAAATAAAAAAAAGTTCAATTAATGCATCTCTTTTGTAAGTAGCCACTATTGTTTTATCAAGCCTTCTTTCTTCAGTTACATTATTATCATCTTTTTTATCCAATCTTTTCTTACAATCTTTACATACTACTTGTAATAGGCGCAATAACCTCAAAACCTCATCACCAACTTCAAGTCCTCGCATTAAGCTAGGAATCACTAAATTTGTTATTGATACCTTTGATACAATAAATAGAATCTTATTGCTTTTTTTGACTCTTTTATCACCTCCAACAATATCTACCTCTTTGTTACAAACACTCTTACTGCTTTTTCAACTTTCTTTGTCAATTCTTCATCTTCATCTTCTTCTTCCACTCAAAAATTGTTCCTATAGGAACTATTATTTATAGAGGCTTATGAACTTAGAAAAATCCTACTTGCTACCTCTTCATATTCCAACATAGAGACAATATTAATACTATAATATCCTATCAACCTCAAGTTTCCTATGTCAACATCTTGCAAATAGTCACAACACAAAATCAAATATAATCCTAATAAAATAACATCACAAGAATCTACATCAACAATTTCTTTTTCACAACCCTCACATAACCAATTTGGACATATAAGATCATTTATATTATCAACCTATTGCTCTTATATAACAAATGATGGCACTCATCAATCAAGACCACAACATCCAATAAAACAATTTGCAATATGAATATTCAAAGACATTTGAAAACAAACTATTCAACAAGAAAGAGGCTATGATAATACAAATTTCACACAACTCCATCTATATTCAAGTCATCTACAACCACACTCTTCCAAACCCAAAGTATGATCAAAACTTCACCTTTCATATATTATACTCTATCATATAATTAATTCATTTTTCTTCTTGTCAAACTAACTTTTTCCAACATATACAATAACATACTTGTAAAATTTACTTCTCCTCTTTTTCTCTTCAATGTGACCCTTCCTTGCAAACATGACAGCATTCTTACAAAATTGGTTCTACCCATCATTATTTCCTTCTCAACAAAGTGACAAATTCAAAAAAAATTCCCACTTTGTCTTTTCACTGACCTACATCTTTCCTACGTCTTTTTTTGAATTGACCAAAATAGACAATGTAGAGGCTTCAATTACTCACCATGATAAAAATTCCATATTACTTCTAACACTACTATATCCACCATTGATATGAAGCTTATAGCAAAAAGGAGTATTAGAAACATAATATCATTTATTATCAAACTTACATCCATCCATTGAATAAAGTCTATGGATGGATACATGTCAAACTATTATGTTGAAATCCTATACTTCTAGATCTCAACTTGTGTACTTATACCGTGTACATCCATAATGGTAATAAGTTAAGTATTTTATTATTTCATATTATTTGAATTGGTTTCTTTGATTCTTCTTGTTATTTCATTAGACACTTCTTCTTCCAATATCATCTACCCCTCCTTGCTCACTTGTGCCATAAAACATGGTCATTACACATTTAAAGAGATTAATCTAAGAAGATTAGGATTAAGATTTTTTTTTTTTTTTTTTTTTTTTTTTTTGTTTGTCTGTTTGTTTGTTTGTTTTTGATTTTTCGTTTCATTTCGTTTTTTTTTTTTTTTTTTTTTTTTTTTGTGTGTGCTACTTGTAGAGGGTAGATTCAACGGGTTGCCATATTTTTATATCTTAATGAGAAAAATTCATTCATCTCACAAATAGGAATACAATTTTCAAGTGCAAATGAAGGAAAATCAGCCCATGTGCATACTTAGGCATTCTAGCATGCAGTAGAGCGTGAGGTGGATCACACTGCTAGACATATCACATACAAGGCAATCGCACGTGTTATTCCCAAGAGTGTATTATGCGGTTCTGCAGACGGTCTTTAAAAGAATTTTCGAACTTAGTTGAAACTATTATGACAAATTTTGTATTCTCTGTTGAAAGTGCTGAGAGAGCCTAACGTGGTTAGTTGACACTAATACGCCATCCCATACTACCTGAGTAGATCCTTCCACATTTGTTTTAGAGCACTTGTTCGAGACCACAAGTTATAGTTGCAAAAGAGATCACTTGTTCTGGCTTGTTTACACGCCATGAGTTTTTTTCTCTGCTAGTGGGTACGCTGGACCGTTAAAATGAACCTCAGTTGATTGTTCTGTACACAAGTACACAAATTGAACGATGTCAGTAAGCATCCAAGAATTTGCTGAATTCAATTTAGTGTTCAATGTTTTGATTCGATGCAGTGCTCACAAGTATTCAAGCTGGGGTAATCCAGAGTGATGAAGTAATTCTTATGAGGGTCTCCAAATCCCGGATTTGCTACAGAGATTTTGACTGTGAACAGTGTACTACTATCACAAGTTGGTATCAGTGCCACTATTGGTGCAATGAATTCTTGTTTACATTTCTAGCAAGAGAGCATCATCTTGGCAATCGGCTTACTGCATTTCGATTTCCAGTATCAAACAACCGGATTCGTCTTTCATGCTACGGCACTGTAAGAAATTGAAGGCTCATATTGATCAAGAATCCCTTATAACTATTTCGTAAGCAGGCATACGAGGGATGACATACTTCGGCAACATACCTTTAAATCACGTCCAGGACATCAAACCCATGAACTACACAACCGATAAACCGTGTAGAGACCATTAAGACGCTATTAAGTCCAAAGCACTAGAACAACCTTGACTTATTGAGTTGGTGAGTGCTTCCATGTTGAAAATGAACCTGCCATCTTTTTGTCCTTACGTCTGGTGGCTGCATCTCCTGCAACATCTTCATTCACCTGTTGAAGACGAGAGAAAAAATGATTAAAAGTGAAATGACCATGCCAGACAACCACTAGAGTAGATTGCTGATAGACGCGAAGGATGAGTTGAGACCAGTGTTGTACTGGTTCTAAGATCTTGGTACACTTGAAATGCAGTGCACTTCGGCATTTCTAAGTATACCAACTCCATTGCTAACATTATATTAGTTGGGATTACAATAGTGAACATAAGGCCAAACAGAGAGCAAATTACATTGAATGCAGAAAGTGTCGCATGTCTCAAACTTTCAGTAAGACTATCTAGCACGTGCATACCTGTTTCAAAATTTCCTCAAGCTGACCCGTTATTTCTGAGAAACTAGGCCGTTCAGCTGGGTCTGTTTTCCAACTACTATGAAGCAACTCACTCAGTTTCGGATTGGTTTTCTCAGGGACGGTTGGCCTCAAACCCTGCACGAATCCATATTTTCGAGTAAGATCTAAGTATTACTCAAAATTTAAAAGCAAAATCTTGAAATGGAAGTGCTCAAAAGGGACACAATTAGAATACGATTGTCCATTACAAAATCAAGGACGTGCAAAAGTGGTAATTGCGGGACCAACTTGTGCGCGTTGGAAAGTTTAAATATTTAGTACCTTCTGAACAACGCCAACTGCAGCTTGAAGAGGAGTAAGATCTGCATAAGGAACCTGGACCAGACTCCAGGTACTGAGAGTTGAGTGCTATCATGTACAAAACAAAATAAGTTGTAACAGCATCAACTTTTAAAACAAGACAATATTATACTTTTCTTCATACGAATCGTAGCGTGACGTATAAAGCTAATTTATCCACATAGACTACCCACTCCCTTCGCAATTTCTAGATTGCTCTTAATTTCAGATCTACAAGTGCTTTAACTGTGTTTGTCAACAGAACCAACGAAGTTTGAAAAGAGCCAACTGGACAAGGAACAATATGAGTTTTTTAATTGTGTCATCCGGACTAACAAAATCTGTTACCTGTCCTGTTAGTAGCTCCCAAAGCACTATGCCGAAGCTGAAAACATCTGCCTTGCAATCATACGGCTTGTGCTCGATAACCTGCACAGCTTCATGCCTAGTCATAAACTACACATGATCTCATTCCCTAAGTGCTTTAAAACAGAAAATTTAAGATTCTTAAGTTATAGTAAGAAGTGGCTATAAAAGCCATACCTCAGGAGCCATCCACCGATACGTGCCGGTCTCTGCTGTCATGATGCCCGACTGGGCTTGCACTCTGGCTACACCAAAATCGGCCACCTTCACCACCTGTCAATCCACACAATCTGTAACACTCCCAATGCTAGTGGCTTTGTCACAATGCAGCCAGGAAGCAGGATACGAAAAGAACATTACTTCAAATGACACAATGCTCTAGAACGATGCATCGAATATGTCTATAAGACTTTTTAATCGGTTACGGACCTCGTTCTCGTCCATGAGGAGGTTTGCTGCTTTTAGATCACGATGTATGATTTTATTTTGATGTAGGTAGTTCATGGCCTTGGAGACATCAATAGCCACTCGCAGTAGCATTGGTATCCTCAGAACTGCCTTCTGCTGGTGCAAATAGTCGTAAACACTTCCACCTGACATGTACTCTGTGTGCAAGATAAATTTTACTAACAACCCTTGAGCTGCAGCATTGCACAAACAAAGAATAGACGAGAGGGTAGCAGATTCTGAGCATGGATAGCATTCGGTATCTTTGGCATCAAACATGAGTATGCGTCATAGGAACGCGCGATAATCCAAAACATGTACCTGTGACGATGCATAGATTGGGAGGTTTTGTGCAAGCGCCAATGAATTGCACTATGTTCTTGTGCCTGACCTTCCTGTACAAGTTCAAATTTCACTGTAGGTCGACATGTTCATAAGCAAAGGTGGATATCTCAAGAGGCTTCTCCTACATGTAAGGTTTAAAAAACGAAAAAAGAAATAATACAAACAAAGATCTACATGGCATGTGATGTTACAGTTGAACTACTGAAACTTGGAAGTGTGACACATTACCGCATGATAAACACTTCTTGTTGAAACTCTAGTTTCATGCTTTCGTTCATCCTCTCTGGATAAAGAACTTTGACCGCTACATCCTGTCCACAATAACTACCTTGGTATCTGCATATAAGATGATTTACGTCAGCTCTGAAACATGACTTGAAAGATTAGTGAGAGATCGTTTGACAATTCAAGATATTAGTCAACCTATCAATTTCGAAAGTACGTGAACGAAATGTCAAAGAACCCAGATACACATGAATACACATCCGTCCTTTATTTCTACCTTGCATTGTCGCCTAAGTTCCTCCCATTTTCAAAAAGTCGAATGCCAAGAATTACTTACAGGTCTCCAGAGGACCCAGTTGACACCTTTCGAATGAACTTCAACTGGCTACTATCAATTTCCCAATCATCTGTGCCACTGAATAACGGAACCGCTTCTGGCTTCAACTCACACTTCGGAAGGTTTTGACGAGGCACATGTTCAGGAACTGGCTTCGGGCTAGTCAGTGCAGCAGGCTGAACATCAAGAGACATCAAAATGGCAATTCAGACCTCCATAAGAAAGTTAGAGCGTACCTATCAGGTTAATCATCAAACTTCCATCATATCCCGAGGCGTGTAAACGACCATGCATACGCAATCTCAGATGCCTTCGTATCTCTTTTTCAGAGGTAGCTACGCAACTTAAACTAATTTACTTAAGATAATGAACTGGGACTCTAATGCAAAGCAACTATTAAGATCCTAAGAAGAGCCACAATTCCAGTTATTAAAGAAATTTCGACCTGGATATTACACCAATCTACTACCAGACACATCAAGTATTTCTAAAAAAAAAGTATTTTCACTATACTTCCGATTAATTCAGATCATCCGCAAGGTCATTAAGGCATAACATATGAAGAAATTGGCAAAAGAACACATTAGCAGACCTCCAAAATTGAGAGAGCCTGACGTAAAGCCCGTTTCAGATCTTCAATACCCTGTCCAATAGTGACATTCCGATTCATAAAAACAAGAGCAAGAGTTCTCAGTCGAATGAATATTGCACTCAATATTACTCATCGAAACACATAGTTACATATAATCATTGCAATGAGACAGCCATGGTCGAAATTTATCATAGGCGAACTATACTAGGCTTATTTTTGTCGGTGATGGAATAATCGAAGATATGCAAGAGCTTTTCGGAAGGACCGAGAGATCAACGAAAAGGTGTTCCTTTTACCTCTGACGGCCAACCATCTACTACAAAAACATCAAGAGAATAGCCGTCCGTGGTAGAGAAGACGTGTGCCTCACGAATGTTCAACCCAACATCTGCGAGCAACGCTGACAACTAACCACGAAAGGATACAAAGTCATTTCAACAGTTCATGTTGGTTCCGACCATTCTTTAACCAAGATGCACCTTCATAGAACCTATCACAAAAATCAGTTTTTAATCTTCTGATAACAAAACAAATTTTCCTACAGACCACACGGCACCCTGCTGTTTGGGACGCAGAGTAAGGAGCCTAAGCATGTCGAGCTCTTAGTCCATAAACCATAATTTTTTTTGACGCAGTGCGTTGGCAGCACAATTCAAAAGTTTGATCACACTCCTAATGTTACAATTTTCCAACGCTTCATCCTTTTGAATGATGATCAAGTTCTGCACAATAGCTACTTGTACAGCTTAAGCTCATTCGCACGTTTTGCTGTTTACATCCTTACCAGAATTATTTGTTACACTGCATAGTTCTCAGCCATGAGAAGTTTCCCAATATCATGTTCAAGTACACACCTGACTGAGAAGTTTGGGTCTATCAATGCATGAGATGGTGACTTCATGCCTTGGCACGTTTGTCAAGTGTGTCGAACTGCCAGAATGTCAATGTTGATGTTAGAGCTCCCTCCGTAGGGATCCAACACCGCTTGTTTGAGCAGCGGAGCTAACTAACCTCACACCTTAGTACCCTCACTAAAAAACAGTTTAAAGAGTATCATTTCACGATATCGATTCTCAACGTAGCATGAGAGCCCTCTCCAACCTCGAATATTAATCAAGTAAAATCAAGGTAGATCAGGCTAAAATACGCATTCGTGATTGGAAATAAGCCAAAGCATGGTACCTTTGAGAATGATGGCTATTGTCATCCTTGTCTTTATCAATTAATGCTGACGTAGGACTATTGAATTCTGAGGCCGGAGGTTGCAATCTCCTAGAATGGCAAGTAGAAACAGGGTCCAGCATAGAAAGCCACGATTAGCTCATTCTTGCCACTGATTACTGCTAATTCGTAACCTCTAAGGCACGATCTCATTCCATACAAATGCTGAAATAAAAATATGTAGTGGCCGATTACGAGGATAACATCAACACATACTGATCGTTAACAGCCTGGTTCGGAGCCGTTTGAGAAATTGAGTTATCCGGAGGTTCAGAAGGAAAGATCTGCAAGAAGCAAATTGAAGATCACCAATTATATTGCAGAAGAAACGTACACAGCGGCAAAAAATAACAGACTAAAACGATGTCAAAAGTCTGCGCTCAGTTGAAATGATCGACGTAACGGATGCCTCCATAGTACGAAAATTTAAAAAATTACAGAATGCCAAAAATTTACCACCTTCCAGATAGCTTAAGAGTTCGAAACACATGTGATATTGGCATCCAATGTACCTCGACTGAACGAACATGGAACGCGGCAACATTTCTGACAACCTTGGCCTCCTCCAGAAGTCGCTTGTGAGTGAGAACATCCTCCGTCCTGTCGATGTGCACATCCAATGCATATCTACACACATACGCCAAGAGCACTAAAATCATTAGAACCCGGTTATAGAACTTGCTCTCATACAGGCCGGCGATCTTTCAACCTCCATTGACATACTCTGGTACAGCAGAGAAAATATGCCATAACTGAAAATGATGAATCTCGACACGGAAATTAATTACTCAACTCGAAGGGCTACGTTTATTTCTACATGCGATCGTGTACTACAAAAAGAAGATTGCAGAGTGTTAGTATTTAGGTTGTCCATCTTCTACAACACTTTGGTAAAAGAGAAGAAATCCTCGGGGAGTATGAGGGGTTTCATTCTACACAACGCTCAAAAAAATTTCAAATAAGTGCTTCAGGATCTGGAGCTGCTGTAGGGTTTATGTGAAACTCGTAGGGGTTTTCGGAAAACCTTGTGAATAAAAAGAACTGCGAGGGTTTAAATCGTAGTCACATTTTTCAGATAGAAAGAATTCTTATTGCGCAAAATGCGAACATATCCGCGCGGTGGTCCGAATTCAAATAGCTTATGAAATGCCTGGAGGAGCTTTTGAGAGCTGTAAGAAGTACTAGAGCTAGGGTTGGATGCAAGGCTTGCAGGTATGAATAATCTCCACTCACCGGGTGGGAAGCCTGTTAAAGTGCGCTTGGAGCTCGTCGGCGAATCCAGGAATTGAAGCAGCATCGTTTCCGCTGTCCTGCAGCTGCGACAGGATGCTCTCGCACACTTCTCTCTTCTTCTGCTTGCGCTGCGCGTTGTGCACTGCCATCTTGATGCTTGCTTCACCCAAGTGATCTTCCATAAAGATCCTTCGCTAACAGTACGTAACGTTGCTTCAAATCCCAGTATTGCAAGCTTTTCTCGAAAAATCTAGGGCATGAGTTACTCCTGATGCAAAATCCCCGACCCATCCAAGAATCTTTGCAAGGATCCCTTGCAGCATCCGGGACACACCAATCGGTAGATAACTTCAAACTGTGGGACAATCGTAACCAAAAGAAAAGAGTCGTCCTCTTCGAACCCAGCGAAGAGCTTTACTATCTGAAATAATTGCCACCCAACTCAGAGTACTTCCTAATAACAGACGCACAAGCACCTAGTAAAGACTAATCCATGTGATTCCATGGATTCGTGTCGTATCAGGATCCTAGCAACCCTGGTAACATTGATGACTCTAAAAATATTCTGAATCACGGGATGAACATGTCGGTGCCTCTCGTTCTAGAGCTCAATCTCACTGCCAATATAGGTTCACATGAAAATGGAAAGACCTCGATACGAGACGATCAACGCCCTTGAGATCCCCATTCAGCAACAGACTACCCTATTGGACTTGAATAAACGCCCACAGAGTGATTTAATTTGGAAAAAGAGATGACGATCGTCTCCTTGCGCATTCATTACTGCGGTAATCGCGCAACTGGGCAGCTAGTATTCGCGATGAGGCAACTGTCGTCTGTTCTACATCAGCGTCGCGATCGTTGTCTCGTGGAGTATTCTTCGAATGATTACCGACCTATCTGTCGCGTCGACCGTAAGGCGACCGTAATAGCTGACATCGGGGACTTGGAAGGTCAGCTATGGGGGCCACAGCCACATTATTATAACCACAAATTTAAAAACGTAGAGCCACCTGCCAAGTGTAGCATGTCATCGAGGGATCACTCACAAGACGTGTTCCCGGATGAAAGCCTGACACGCATGGGAAGATTATCATACCCCATTTCTAAGAGAAGCCAGGATATTGCCGACACACAAACACTACGCCGGATTCGAGTGCTTATCTGTTTCACTTGCAATAAAAACATACTGCCTCTTGAGACCTCGAAAGGCCACGACTACATCAAGAGAAGAAAGGAATTCGGGAATATAGGCTGGAAACACCGACGACCATGTTCAGGAATCAGAATGTGGCTGCGGCTGTGGTGACATTCCGTTGGAATAATTCTTGGACTTCGAAATGTCTCAGAAACCACATCTGTCCTGCTTTCCGGAATCAATGTATTTGTTCCTCTTCCATAATTAGTTGGTTTCTGTAATTCTGCCAGAGCAAACATCACAGTCGCTTCTCTTTGACTCTTGATTCCCATTTTGTACATTCGCAGGGCTACTGGTCGCAGCTACCAGTAGACTTCAAATCATGGCACGGAACCTTGACGCCAGCGGGCAGAACCGCCTAATTGAACTAATCCATGTCGAAAGATTATTCCTCCAAAGAAGAGACTATCTCCAATGTTAAGGAAACGTGGCACTACCATCTTCGTAGGACACGACATTCACACAACTTTCCAAAGTTGGGTTCTAATGAACAAGTTTAGTTCAGTAAAATAAATAGTTAAACACTGTACCTATCTCAGACTCATCCAAAATTCTAATATCTTTCTCAAGCTTTCCTGTCATCACGCGCAACTACGAAACCTCGAAACCCCTATTTCGAACACAAGATTTGCTTCCATCTTCGCTTGTGCACCAGCTTCTGGTATCTGCAATGTACCCTGGATTCCTTCAAAGAGAAACTTCCATTCCCTCTCCGCATCTGCAGTGATCGAAATTGCAGTTTAACTGCATCACCAAAAGATGCTTTCCAGCTTCGAAAGGCGATTATTCATCTTTCTAACCCCGTAAAGCCTGAGTGAAACCAGCGGTGTAAGCGATTCTCACTGGGAGTAACTCACTCGCTGTGTGAAAGAGATTCGCTAATCTTAACAGACCGGCGCGTCCGTCGGTCCGTCTGTCCGTTCCTGTCGAGCATTCGTCCTTATTGTTTAGTGGATGAATGAATGAAATTATTGTCGTCCCGTTGACGACGACCGCCCCGTCCGTCCGTCGCCGTCGAGTATTCGTCGGTACGGTTTAGTGGATGAATGAATGAAGAAATTGTTGGGTGGTGGTGCGATTCTGTGGATGAATGGGTGCGAGATGTGAATGAAGGAATGATCAGATTTGTTGATGAATGAGTTAATGTGAATGGATGGATAGATGCGAATGTGTGGAACTTTCTTTTCGAAGGCCTTTGTCATTTCAATCAGCAAAATATTAATAATAGTAATAATAATATACAAAAATAATAATAAAAAAAAATTATGAGAAAAATTATTAAAGATTGATATAACTCATGGTATTAAATGATTTCATGTTGTGTACACTAATAGATAAAAATGGATGGCTTCGGAGGCGTATGAAAGTTTAAGAGGAAGAAATAATGTAGTGAATAGATGTGAATTTTTATTGATTAGACTCAAAAAAATTTAATTTATTTTATTTCTTAAAAAAAGATGTGTCTTTTTTGAAAATTCTTGCTTATTTTCTAGGAAAAATCCGAAATTTGAGAAATATATTATTGTATTCCTTTAACGTTTTGTTAAGAAGATATAGAAAAAACGCCTTCAATGAAAAGGAATTTTAATACTAATTATCCTGAAATAAAGCTAAAATGAACACTTCTAAAAACTTTCTCTATTCTTCTTTATTCTTTCTTTTTGTTTTTACTTCTGATATTCAGAGAAAAATAAATAAATTCACTTAAAATTAAGAATGATAAACACAAGAGTAATGGTGAAGTTAAATATAGTTTGTAATCTGTAATCCTCAAAAGCAATCTTATACAAGGGGTCTTTTATTCATTTTATTAATTATTTTTTGAATTTTAGGTTTTGAACTCTGAGGTTTTTCATTCATCATATTAATGAAAGAAAAATGTTTTTGATTTGGACATTATTTTCTGGAAACTTTAGTGATTTTATCATGTATATTTGTGTTTGTATGTGTTTGTTCATAAACATATTGTGTGTGTGTGTATATATATATATATATATATATATATAGTTAATCTTTATAAAAAAATAAAATGGAAAAAAAATAAAAGTCAACATTCTAATAGAAAGATAAAGTTAACAAATTTTAATTTATGATATGACACAATGTGGTTGCATTTGAGTTGTCTGAATAGACTTTCAGTTAATGATTTGGAATTTTGTTTACTTTTCAATTTCTATAATTTAGTTAGTTTATATATATATATATATATATATATATATGAAACATGTTAAGCAATGATATTATATAATTATTTGTCATTGATATTAAATTTTCTTAAAAATCCCATAAACTTCAAATTTTTATTTAAAATATAAATATTTTAAAATAATAATATATTATAAAATATGTGTGATCAATTTCAATTAAATATTTTACTTACATAAAAATAAAAATTTAGCACTTGAACAAATAAAAGATGATGTATTGTAAAATATTCTTAATAAAGTTTATATATATATTATTATTAATATTTATATATACAATAATAAAATAAAAGATAACGTATTGTAAAAACTACACACACACACACATATATATATATATATATATATATATATTATATTATAAAAGGTCTATATTCACTTTAACTTTGATAATTCTTACAAAAGTGAAAGATGCTTCAATCCTGTAGGCATGTCTTTTAAATTCTTGCACCCCTCAAATCACAATCTCTTCACATTTGTAATACCATCAAATATAGCATGAATCGTCTTCAAATTTGTACAATCATCATAATGCAATATATTAAGAGATGCAAGATTGGCAAATCCTTTGTGTATTGTGTCTACTTTAACACAATCACTCAAATTTAAGTATGTCAAAGATGCCAATGCATTAATGGTATCACCTTCAATTTTCATTTCTATGCAACCTTCAAATGATAATTCTTGCAAAGGTGAGAGATGCTTCAATCCCATAGGCATGTGTTCTAAATTCTCACATCCTTTATAAGACAATATCTTTAAGGTTTTCATACCATCAAACAAAGCAAGAATTTTCTTCAAATTGGAACAATCTTCAAAAATCATTCATAGTAAAAATAATGAATTATAGATTGTGTATGAAAAAATGTTTTTTCTAGTAGACTCATACAAGAAAAACATATATAAGATTGTCAAGGTTTTCAATTTTGTTTTCTCTTGTATTCTTTACAAAATTATGTATTTGTTAAACGAGCTTCTTCTAACTTTTTAGTTAGATTACTGAAAAGATACCAACACATCAACTTTTGAAATAGATTTGATACCAGAGATCATAAAAAATAATTCTTATAATTTAACAAGAAAAAGTATCTAACAAATATAGATATATATATATATATATATATATACACACACACACACACAAAAAAAAAATACAAGAATGTATTCTGAATTATTTTTAAAGATTTAGAAGAGTTGAATGATTTTTTAAAGATTAAGAATAAATTTTTATTGATTTAAAAGAAATAAATAATTCAAATCTACATGATATTGATTTAAATTTCTTGTGATTTATAATCATTTTAAAATTTTTATTTGAAATTTCAGTTTTTTAAGGAATTTCATTTTTATATAATGTTAAATAAGCTGATATGATCTAATAACCAAATTTACATGTCTACTGAATTGTTTTGATTTGTTTTTTTTCCAATAATAGAAGATAAATATAGATAAGTTAATGTCTAAAGTACTTTTTTGGTCACCAATATGATATTTGATTTTTTTTCTAATCTATTTCTTTATGAATTTTATTAAATACTACATTAGTTAGTAGTATTTTTTTAAAATTTCTTAAAAATATTGATTCTAATCCACAATTTAGTAAAAAAACTATACTTCAAAATCAATTCTAGTAATCACTATAAATTTAAAGTCATTTCCTTTCTAGAATAAATACTAGAAGCCAAAAATGATAATTTATTGACAAATTTCTTATTTAAATATATCATTAAAAGAATGTTCTAATATAATAATTTCTAAAATCATTATATATATATATATATATATATATATATATATAATTATTCTTCAAGAAATACATACCTTATACAAATTTGTTTCTTAGAATAAAATAAAATTTTAAAATTGATTGCAAAACATGAAAATTTTAGGTCCTGATATGTTTGACCAAATTTTAGAATTAAAAAGCCTTTTTTATTTTATTTTTATTACGGTTTCCATGTTCAATAATCAAAAATAAATATTGTAATTTTTTAAGGAATCCTTATATTTGTGACTAACTTACATCAAAATGTACCTAATTATAGAATAGAATTAAGTATCCATGTATTTAATTTATGATATTTCATAATTTAATCGGAAAATGTTCTATAAAAGTTTGAAAAAATATAAATTTTAAAGACGATTCCAAATATATCTATAAAAATTTAAATGATTCTAATAGTAATATTCCAATAATATGTAGATGATTTTATTATATATATATATATATATATATTATATACATGTATTCTGGTAATTAGTTTTAAAATATTTTTAAGAATTTTTTTTTAGAAATAACATTGTTTTTTTTACTTTGGCTTATAAGATGTAGTTTTTAGCTTTTATAAAAATTGATAGAAACATCTTTTTTGTACTGTTAGAATAATTTATGTAAAATCAATTGTAAATCACTGTGAAAGCATTCTAGAACTTGGATATTTTGGCATTTAAATCTTGCAATCACAAGATAACTTTTACATAGCTATTTTAATAGTTGATACATATAGATGCATGATTGAGGTTGTTCTTAATCTTGTCAGTGTCTTTTATGTATTCTAGTGTTGACTTAAGATTTTTAAATTCTTTGTACTTAGCGATGGCAATTGTATGATTTATTTTATTTTATTAATATATAAATTTATTATTATTATTATTATTATTATTATTATCATTTATAATAAAATTTTCTTTTAAAAGTTTGAATATATTTTTCTTTAATAGTTTTGTAAGATCAACATATAGAAGAAAAGAACTTAATCTTTTAAGATATAAAATCAAATATTTTAAAAATTAAAATTAAAAAAATTAAATAGTTTTAGTTGTTCTAATTAACTCTTTTTTAACTAAATATTATTTATTCACAAATTTTTGTAAGAAATAATGAGTTAAATTCAAAAAAGAAAAAAAACAAAAAACTATTTCTTTTGGCTACTATATAGATTGTGGAATTAGATTTTCGTACAATATTATTTTGTAAAGGACTTCTATTCTATTCTATTATATTATATTTTTAGAATTTATTTTTAGAATCAAAATTTTTGTAATTTTTAC